GGCTAACGGAGAGGCGGCTCCCGCCGTCCCTGTCCCGGCTAACGGAGAGGCGGCTCCCGCCGTCCCTGTCCCGGCCAACGGAGAGGCGGCTCCCGCCGTCCCTGTCCCGGCCAACGGAGACGCGGCTCCCGCCGACCCTGGAGCTGTTGCCCTTGCTGACCAGGTTCCGGCTGAGCAGGTATATTACAATAGCTTTGTTATCTAAATATTTTTAAAAGACAGCTGATTGATTTTTTATAAATCTTAGACAGTACCTACATGTAAAGGCAAGGTAAAACCCTCAGATGATAATGGTGATTGAAATCTTGATGTTGTCCGTACATTAAGTAGTAGGTTTTCTCTTATTTTACGTCTGTTTGATGGTATTCAAAGTAAAGAATTAACAATTTTTTGTCACAAAGGAACAGCAAAGGGCGCGGCCGTTGACCCTTGATGACTTATGGAAGTGTGTTGAGCATTTACAGTTCTTCGTGAACTTTCGGTGCCTCTGGCTCCTGCTGCAACTGATGACAAATTGTGAACATCCTCTCTTGACATATGGAAGCAGGTAACTGCCGGTCTGATATTAATGAGCATATACATGTATATATATATATATATATATATATATATATATATATATATATATGTGTGTGTGTGTGTGTGTGTGTGTGTGTGTGTGTGTGTGTGTGTGTGTGTGTGTGTGTGTGTGTGTGTGTCCATTTACAATGACAGCTAGCGCCCATGCGTTCACTACTACGGAAGTGTTGTTAGTTGGATAATTGAAAATAAGATCTGGATTTATGTACTTGTTTTTCCGTAGCCCGATGTGCCATTGGCACAGGAGGAACTAAGGTCTAAGGTAAGGTTTTCCGTAGGTTGACAGCACGGGGGTGAGGAAGGTTGGAAGGCAGAATGGCAGGAGATCGAAAGACAACACTGTGCTAGTACACATGAAGGTCTCAGAATATGGCCAGGAGCCAGCAGTAATTAATGGTCGACATGGGGGAATTCAGGAAGCAAAGAATTGCAAATGCATATCTGAAGTCTTAAATCTCTGATTTCTTGTTATCATTAGGTATGGCTCTATGGCTCCAACACTGAGTAGTGGCGACATGCTGTTCATGACTAACTTCCCGGACGACCCTGTCGGAGTAGGTGATATCGTCTCGATCAAGCTTCCAGGGCAAAAAGTGCCATGGATACGCAGGGTCGTGGAAATGAAGGAAGAGTACGCATACTTTAAGACGTTCTCTGCGGCCTTTTAGTGCTGTTACGGATAATTATAATTCAAAGGAATCCGAATTCAATTTAGTCGAAAGCTTTCTATATAAACATAACTCAAACCCAATTACTTTCATAGAAATTTTAGCTTCATCATGTCATGAAGCTAAAACTATATCATGTCAAGCGTTTTTGACTGGAAGCAAGGTTGTACAGAATACCTACATTCATTCCAAATCTGTTTCCTAAAAGACCATCTTGTACTTCTATTATCCCTAGCGATGAAAACAACCTAATGTACCTGACAAGAGGGGACAACGTTGACAACATGTTCCCACTGAGTGATACAGCCGACCCTGGTCCACTGTATCCCCTATGGGTTACGAGGAAGGACATTCTCAGCAAGATGAACATGTAAGTTTCTGTTTATGCAAGTTTATCCTCCTTTATTTGAAATCAAATATGTTAAATTGTAATCTTTTTATTTTGACGGCTACGTATACATTGTAACGGACAGTCTATTTTTGATGATGAATACACATTGAAAAGGACATCTTTTTCCGATTTATGAAAGTTAGCGAAGTCTATATGGCAAAGCTGTAGTAATTTCGTAATTTCACATTCAAAGGTACGACCCAAAATGTACAAACTGGCAGACCCTAATGACGTATGGACCAAATCGTCAGGAATCCTGTGCTTTGATTTTACACAAAAGATACGTTGATAGAACAGGATCAGGTGTGATGATAAAATCATAGCCTGGTTAAAAGTTGCGGAGAGGATGTTACTTAGGAC